GAAGAATCAGATTTCGTATGAATCATTTTAATTAAAATTCCATATTTTAATAGCTTGTTATTAAATCTTTAATTGAAAAAAGACAAAATAAAAGTACATACATACGTTTCTCAATTAAATAATTATTTACAAATTATTTACTGTAAAACATAGGGTGTTTCCAAATGTATGAAGGGTATTGTATATTGTATATTGTATATTGTATTTTGTATATTGTATTTGTGTGTGTGTGTGTGTGTGTGTGTATTATTTATTATAATCTATTCAAGTTTATGTATAAGCAATTAAAATGGAGCTTTTAAAGAAAAAAAAAATTGTTTTAATTAAACTATATATTATTAGTTAAATAAAAATATTGAAAACTTTTATATCTCTAATTATTTTGTAATATAAAATATCAATTTTATACACAATTTGATTATTTTAACTTTAATCCTAAGATCTTAAAAGTAAATTGTAATTTTCTTTGAATTATCTCATATTGCCTTTTTTTTTACTGAAAAATTGAATTACAGATTTTACTCTTTTTGTTGAATATACATATTATTCATTATTTTCAGGGTTGCTTTTTAGATAACAATGATTGTTATGGTAAACCGCTTTGTGTAGAGAATAATATGGAAAGAAAAAATGAATTCTTTTTTTGTTGTTGCGAAGGCAATATGTGTAACCAAAACTTCTCTTGGGTTCCACAACCAACCACTAAGCCTACAGAACCATCTGTTATTCATGGTATTCAAATATGCATGGTTTATTTTATATTTGAAAATAAATTTGTGTCTTTTGCAATACTTGTAATAACATTTAAATAATTATCTTTTCAGAATTAGAACCTATGCCTAATGCAAAGCAGCAAGCAATAACACTTGCCCTTTTAATAGCAATCCCTATACTTCTTACAATTAGTTTATTTTCTTTTTGGTGGCTCTATCGTCGTCGAAAATTGGGCTATTTTAACGAGGTTGTATTTTGAGATTGTGTTACAAAATTTTTAAATGTGTTATTTAATTTATGAAATTTATGTAAATTTCTCAGATACCAACGCTGGAACCAGTACCATTGCCACAACCCTCACCTAATCTAGGTTTACGACCAATACAACTTCTTGAGATCAAAGCTCGAGGTCGTTTCGGAGCAGTTTGGAAAGCCCAATTTAAAAATGAGATCGTGGCAGTTAAAGTTTTTCCCATTCAAGATAAGCAATCTTGGCAGACTGAACAAGAGATTTTTAAGCTTGCACATATGGATCACGAGGACATATTACACTTTATAGGTGTTGAAAAGCGTGGAGATAATCTACAAGCTGAATTTTGGTTAATCACCGCGTATCACGAAAAAGGTTCACTGTGCGATTATTTAAAAGCAAACATTGTAACATGGCCTGAGATGTGTAGAATTGCAGAGTCCATGGCAAGGTAACATATAATAATAATTATAATAATCTGTTAGGAATGAAACAAGATTATATGTAAATTGAATAAAATAATATTTTTACTGAGTTATTGTTCAATATTTAATAAAAGCATTTTTGTTATCAGAGGTTTAATGCATCTACATGAGGAAATCCCAGCTAATAAAGCAGATGGCTATAAACCAGCTGTAGCTCATAGAGATTTTAAGTCAAAAAACGTTTTACTCAAGGCTGACATGAGTGCCTGTATAGCAGATTTTGGCTTGGCGCTTATTTTTCATCCGGGAAAACCTTGCGGTGATACACACGGACAGGTAATTTACATATCGTTATGCATTTTATATTGATGTGAAAATAACTATAATATTTTATAGGTTGGAACGCGAAGATATATGGCACCAGAAGTTTTAGAAGGAGCAATAAATTTTACTAGAGATTCATTTTTACGAATTGACATGTATGCCTGTGGGTTAGTTCTGTGGGAATTAGCTTCAAGATGTACTGTACAAAATGTACGTAATATATATTATGTGTAACATGTTTTACAGAGAATGCATTTTTGCTGAACTGCGAACTCTCAAGACTAGAGCTGTAAATATGGTTTAGATATGTGGATATCGAGGAAATGATTACCTGGATATCCTATATCCGATTTCTTAAGTTACTTGGTCCTTCCATTTGATCGACGTCGATCTTACCCAGATAATCCGCATTTTAACATTTGAAAAATTGTATTTATTCAAATTTGTGAATTTTCAAAATCTGAACTATCCATTACAAGAAATTGGAAGAAAACTGAAACATATCAGACTATAATATGCCAAAATTTACTTTGAAGAATGATAAAAATGCGGCTGCACATGAAATCTTAACGAAATGAAAACTGGATATTATTTTCGTATTTTTAAAATATAGTCGCGCGCGCGCGCACACACATGCACGCACACACACAATGACTAACATAATCATGTACTACCCATCTTGCAAGTTAAGTGCATGTCAAAAGATACTAATTGTTTTTATTTCAATATTAGGGACCAATTGGAGAATATCGACTACCATTTGAGGACGAAGTTGGTCTCCATCCTACTCTAGAAGATATGCAAGAAAGTGTTGTTCATAAAAAAGAGAGACCACTCATTTTAGAAACTTGGCGTAAACATCCAGTAAGTAAAAATGTACAGAAATATTTATTTTAATTCTGTTGATGACAGAATTATTATCTATATATTAAAAAATCACAAAGAAATGCATATATATGTATGTTATGAATTTTATGCAAACAAATTCCTTCTGTATAAAAACTGCTAGTAATAGAAATTTTTTTTTATAGCTGTAAAAAGAACAATATTTTTCTAAAAAAAAAAATAAAATTGAATATATAGTTAGAATATATATATAGTTTTTTAATGTCTATAATTAAAATGTGTGTTATTTCAGGGCTTATCATCAATTTGTGATACAATGGAAGAATGTTGGGATCACGATGCCGAAGCACGCCTTTCTGCCTCGTGCGTAGTGGAACGAGTTGCTACTCTTGGTAGAGCTCTTGTATTAAATTCAACTACTTTGATTCGTGTTGATAATACCAACGAGATTATTACTACCAAGGAATCTAGTATGTAGTTAGTGTCCATTAATATAGTTTATTTTAATGGCACAACCATTTTTTGTATCATAATTTTGTTATACGTATCAATGAGGAATGTTGAAACAATAGAAAAAAGACAAACATATATCTCCGACTTTATGTTTTACTATTTGAATAATTATTAATTTCTCCTCTATATATGCTATACAAGTGAAGATCGTTAGTTACATCATGGCATTCGTCCTAATAAAAGTATATCTACTACACACACATTTTATCTTTCCCAATGCCTCTTTATGCATTGAGACAGATTCAGTAACATTAAAAAGGTTTGTGAAATTGACAAACATTTTTTTAATGTCTAGAAAATGTAAAGTAAAACACTATGGGCAAAATATTACACAAGTAATAGTAAGATGAATAAGAAAAATTTAAATAGATGAAATTATAATTATTTATTGCCAAATTATATCTCAATATTCATTTCATACAAGTAAATCTCTGTTTTAAAAATGTAAATAAAAAGAATGATGTATTTCATTTTTTATTAATCTTTGCAATAATTTGCAAATATCATGCGAGAAAATGTAAGGCGACACTGCTTCCATTTAACCAAGAATTCGTGAATTACATGTTTAGAAGAATTACATTTTACGAAGATTTGGTATTGGATTGTTCGCACTGAATTCTAAAATAATCGTGTAAAAATCACCGTCGAGCTTGTGTAACTACTCTACCCACACAGTAAGATAAAAAAAAGATCTGCGGGATTTCTTTAACATATCTTACAGAATCATAGCATTCAGAGCAATCGAGAAAGAGAAAAAGGGAGAAAGGGAGATATCTGAAGCATACTTTTTAAATTTAATACAATATAATCACACTGCCA